AGTCTCAGTGCTCAAATCATGAAACTTCTCCATTATTCTCTATTCTTTTTCTTTTACTCTTAACTTTTTTTTTGTATTTAAAGTGCATATCACACAGCCAGCATATGATTGCTTCCTGGTTTTTAAACCCACTTCTAATAATTGTTGCTTTTCTTGTTTTTATTTTTAGGGGTGTTTGTATGTGTGATCATATACCACATGCACACACATAGAGGTCAGAGGGTACCTCTCAGGGAGAGGTTCCCCCTTTCCTTTGCTCAGGCAGCTCTCTCTGTTTCCACACTGCATACTCCAGGGTAGCTGGCACACAAGTTTTCAGGTCTTTCTCCACTTTCCATCTCCCATAGAAGTTCTAGGGTTACAGATGTGTGCCGCTGTATTCGGCTTTTTCCGAGGTCATCCAGCTTTTGTGGCAAGTGCTCTTACCTGCCGAGCATTCTCAGCTTCTCTTCACTTTTTGACTGGATTGTTTCTACCAGGCTACATTTAAGCAACTGTTAATTTCATTTGGTTTGAAGTGACCATCTTTGTTTTCTGTTTCTCTTGGCTGCCCCCATGCCCTTTCCTGCCTGTGCTCTCCCAATTTTGGATAGTTGGCATCTTGTTTTCTGTTCCAGTTATCTCCTCAATTATGTTTTATTTTCAGTGATTATTATAAGATTTATCACATGCATACTTGATTAATTGGAAGTGTGGAAGAGGAAAGGAAGGAAGATTGAAAACTCAGACTCACAAATGTGGCATAGGCAGTAGAGAGGTCACTCTTTGGGTTGAGAAATTCTAGGGAATTGGTGTTTGGAAGATGATAAGGCCCTCTGGGTACAAATTGATGCTAAAGCACTTTGGCGGCATCTGAGAGAAAACATCTGTTAGCAGAGCCCTGCATGGCCCCGCGCTTACACCAGAGTCGGGGCTGACAGTGGGGGTTCTGAGCACAGGTAACGGTGAGATCAGTGGGAGTGGGAAGATCTGCCTGTGGAACGTACGTGCTATGACAAGTCCGGGATTGAGATAGCTCACGGAAGACAGAGTGTGAGTGGAACGGTTGGAGTAGGAGGAGGCAAGGTCGCATGTGTGCTGCGGCCGCCACAAGAGGAAGTGGCTTTGTGGTGGTGTGGGCAGGAGAGGGTTTCAGGCCCTCCAAGATCATTTTAAGTTCTGTCCCTAATTTTTCTGGTGGGTAAATGGGAGTTCATTTATATTATCCAGAATTTCACTAAAATAAAAAAAAA